TTCTCCATGAGTATGGAATTAATTTTGTATACACATCTCGGTGCCAAGTTCCAGCCCTCTGCAATAAACACCTCCAGAGATATGCAGCATAGAAAAATCAATTTCCATTTTTCTCCGTGAATATGAACATGATTTCACACAGTGTTAGGAAATTGCTAATCTGATTAACGATTAAAAATTAACGATTAAAATGTTAATCGCGTTTGACGATTAAAATTAATTAGTCGTAATCAACTGTACGATTAATGATAAAATTTTTTTAATCGTTAATCGCTGGCTGCGATTACGTTTAATTAATTTAAAACATTAATCGTTAATCCAATTAAAAATAAAATCTGATTAATTTGTCTAGTTTGTCCGAGTTTGAAACCAAACACCAGTTATAGTAATTATTTTGTGTTTTACGCTTATAAAAAACACATAATATAAAAAAATTATAATTATTGTTATTAGTAATACATAAACTGGGAACTTTTACAAACCTAGTTTGTAAAACGTTTGTTGGTATATATCTTAATGAAAATGCACACCAAATTGCTTAGATTGATGAGGAAGCCCGACTTAGCCATATCAGATTAACTTGCTTTGTGTGCACAGGGAAATTCCAGCATAACTCAATTAATCACCAAACCTACTTGATCAAATTAAGAGTTAATGATTAAAAATTAATTTTTTAATCGCGGTTACGATTAACTGCTTAGCCAGATTAAAATTAATCATGATTAACTGTAATCAGTTTGAATTTAATCGAATTAACTAATTATAACATCCCGAGCACTATTCGATCACGCAACATTCTGTTCTCGTTCTCAAACCCACACTTTCGCACCGACTTTTTGACGTCCATCAAAAAGTTGTCAAACGGTTCACCTTCCCCCTGGGATCGGCTGTGAAAAATGAAGCTTTCGTACACCTCATTTATTTTAGGTTTGCAAAAATCTTCAAACGCCTTGGTTACGGCATCGTATTTTTTGCGATCATTATCACTTAGATTTAGCGAATTGAACACATCTAGCGCATCTGGCCCAATAGCATTCAGAAAAACTGCAACCTTGACGGGCTCTGCTTTTTTCTCCAATTCGATGGCTATTGCAAAAACTTGGAAATTCTGCCTGAAAACGCGCCAGTTTTCCGCAATATTTCCACTAAATTTCAATTCCTCTACTTTTTTACAAATTCCATTGTTCTCGAACTATCTTTGAAGTATCTGATTCTTTTTGGAGGTCTTCCACGTGGTTTCACACTTAAAACGCTTGTATTCAATTTACTTCTTCGCATTAATTTCCGTAAAACTGGTATGATTTTTAAACACTTATTCCAAAAAGTTCAAGAGTATATATATGTATTTAATTCCGTATACATAGCTACTACGAGGATTTAATTTTTCTAGACTCTTCTTTTTAACCGACTGCGCCATGTAATAATAAGATGGTGTGACCCTTTTGAAGACCGTTTATTGAGTGATCGTTGGAAAAAGACTTAAATTAATATATACAATGTTGACTAGTGAGAGTGATTATAAGAGTAGTAAAAACAAGAGAGCTTGGTAGGTATACAACAGACAAGTATGTATGTATATAAGTATAACAGGTAGATATGGTAATATGGGTATAAGTAATAAAGGGTGTCACAATTATAATTAACTAAGGGAATGTATCCAATACAGATACACGGGCAACTGGAGAAATTTTCAAGGCGCTGGGCGTAAAGGACGACACTCTGAACGTGCGTTTGCGCCGACAGACGGAAGCAGAAATTAGGCAGCATACTGGCGTTGGTGGAGGAGAAGGCGTTGAAGACAACGCAAGTCAGGCCAGCACAGAGATTTACGTGCACGAGAGCCCAAACAGCGGTGCGAGTGATGAGGGGCGCTGGAGTCCTGCATCATGGAACCCAAGCGACTACACGACTCGGAGTTTAGTAGCAAGCAGCGAGGCGGGAAGCGGCACATTTACGCCAGCAGAAGTATGCGGCGATAGCAACGACGATGACTACGAGTGGCATCTAGGCGAGATGATAAGGGCGCCCACGCCAATCGAGGTTTCCGATGACAGCTATAACGAGCCACGCAGGGGCGAAATGGACATCGAACAGGAGGACTGCCAACGCCCAGGTGAGGGTTATATAGAGTATGTCCGGCGCATCACTATGACGATGGGAATTTTTAACGACGCGTCACACAACACCGAATCGTGGCGACAACCACCTGCGCAGGCGTTGTGCGACGCAGCAGCGGCGACAATATCAAGTGATAATAGAGGCGATGAAGGAAGCGAAGAGGAGAATGCGCTCTCCCTGTTGGTGGAGGAAGACCGCGGGTTAGAGCAGTTGTTGGAGGAGTTGGCCAGCACAAACACAGAGCCAGCAGACCCGATGATGATCCCCGAAATCGAACGCTGGTTGCAGGACGACAATCTACAGACAGAAGCACTACTCGGCGAAACTTCAGCGGCACAAACCCGGTGCCAAGGGAGCTGGTAAGGGTCATTCAGGAGCGGCTGCAGCGACAACAAACTAAACGCCAGACATTCAGGCACGCGGTGGGCAAAATGGTGTACCGCGTATGTATTACAGGCGCGTGGCTCGTGACAATCATGCGTCCAGAGGGAAGTAAAGGGGGAGTGTGAAGACCCCAAGTCCCTACACTCAGGGACTTCACAATTGGCTGTCATATATTATTGAACTAAATTATATTTTGAATTGTTAAATACATATATATAGATATAAATGGAGAACTGTTGAATTTATTTATACATATTAAACGAATAGCTAATTATATACATACATACGTGAAATCGAAATACATACATATGTACATATCTATATTGAAATCTGAAGTACATACATACGTACTTTAGGTATGAACAAGTAAAAGTAAGTAAAGAAAATGTTAGCAACAATGTTGTTAGGATAACTGTCTGCCTGCGTGCAGGACAGTATAAATAGAGCAGCAAATGTAATTTCTGTACTTCTGGTAGAGTAGTCGTATACTCCAGTCGATCGTGAAAACGCAGATTGGAATGGCTAAGCAACGATTGTGAAGACTAAGTTGCTTAGTAGGTAGTTAAGGTATATGGTGTGACGTGAAAACGCTGCCAAATCAATACGTTATATTGGTGTGACGTGAAAACTCTGCCAAGTAGTACTTATGTATATGGTGTGACGTGGAAACGCCGACAAGGAAATACCTTATATTGGTGTGACGTGCAAACGCTGCCAACTAAATAGCGAAATAAAGAAACGCCACTATAAGAATCATTGGCGTATTTATTTTAACGTTCGGATAAGGGAACCCAACATCCGACCGAGCCACAGCCCAGCTATAGACCGAATAAACCGGGGTCGTTACAAGTTGTGATGTCAATCCACAACCTAAATATGTACACATAAAGGGTTAGTTAATAGACTTTAAACATGTGGTTCGAATTATAATACCCCTTATAAATTAACAGCCCGGCGAATCTACACTTGCTTTTGTATTTAAATGTCGCCAATTCAAAATTAATGTAGTGTCCGAAATAAAAATAATAATTTGTATACGTAACGTGCAGAGTATTATCTTGGGAAAATACCAAAGTTAAAGTTAAAAACCAAAAGCAATGCCTGTGGTTTTTAGAATAAAGAAATATCCAGATTTTTAGACCACGAGCACCCCGATTTTTGGGGATTATTACTAGTATGTTTCTATTTCACTGTCTACTTTGTCTTTTTGATTAGTGTTCACTTGACGGTGGCTGATGATGGTTGCTCAGCTGCCAACCGAAATGCATCGGTAAAAAAAAAAATAAAAAATAAAAATAAGAATAAAATAATAAAAAAAATTTAAAAATTTTGATTTAAAAAATATATTGAGTTTTTATTTACGATATTTGCGGTCAAAAAGGTTAAAACATAAAAGTAAAAAAATTTGAATAATAAGACCGCAAGCAGACTCTAAATTTAGTGATTAAATTACTAAAACGGTTTCAAACTAATTCTGCAATGTTTCGCCGAAATTTCGAACTTTTTAATTAGAATCTTTAGAAAAAAATTTTGTTTGCAGTTTTGTACCTAACTCATTAAAATTGAGCATAATAAGGTGCGAGTAGAAAGTGCTGCTCATTTGCTTCTCTTAAAAAAAAGGTCGTACATACTTACTTTGCATGAAAAAAATACGTAACACCGTCAACAAAAAAAAAAATCCAAAAGTTAGGGGTAAGCCTTACAGGCTTAAAATTCCATTTTATTATACTAAAATTTAAGGAATATTTTTAAATGTTTTAGGGAAAACAGTGTGAAAAAAATTTGCAAAATCATTTTTTGTCCCATATTCGGCTCTCATAAATATGGTCACCTTATGTATAGTAGTCAAATTTATAGAGAAATGTACTTAAAACAACAAAGTACGTTCGCTTACAGTTCGCCAAAATTTGCCTTATTTCTGGACATTCATAGCCGCTCTTGAATTGTTCACACTTTTTCACTCATACAGCATGCCTACTACATGCATTCAATGCATACAACCGATTTCTGCTGGGCTTGTTCGCACGCACACAGTGGCATCAATTGCACGCACACTACAAAAGTGCTCAGCCGAGGCTGCCCACCTCTGACCACCGAAGCCTGAAACCTCCATCAATTTCGTTCGATCATGGTAAATGAATAAAAACTATAAATGTGTTCGCATTAATCAGCACTGTTTGAAAACTTACCCTACTGTTGTTTGCTACACGTGACTTATTTTACTTAACTGCTGATGTATGGCAATGGCGGTAAAGAAACGAACATTTGAATACTGTTTGTTTACTTTAGCCTTGGCATCTGTTAAAGTAGTAGGGGAAACAATTTAAGTGTTTTGGAAATACCAAAGTATGTACATATACTACGTAGTACATGTACATACTTACAAAGACTTATCTAGAGTGCTACTTGAGGGTTTCGAGACAACGAATTTTACTTGCGTACTTTACTTTAACTAAACGCTTAGAAACAAGACAATTATCGGAAAGCGATTATCATACCCCAATCGTTTTGAGATATCCGCAGTGGTTTTATTCCAGATGGCGGAGTGTTTAAATTTATAGCTTTCAGAACTGTAGTCATGTGCTCGCCATGATTCACAATAGTCATAAGGCCGCAAAAGAAGGTCTTGTTCAGGGATTGGCTCCGGCTGTACGTTGTTATTTTGGCCAAAAAGACCCTCAACGAAAGCCTTGAAACTTTCTGTAGTGCGCTGTGTGTTCGTGTGGCGAAACTAATAAAAATGTAGTATTAATGGGAAATTCTTTTTTGATGTATTTTTTTTAGATTTTACCTTGTAGTATGTGTTGTTATAATTCTTGGTCAAAATATCACCATAATACCTTTGATAAGTTTTCGCAGTCCCTTTTAGATCTTCGTAACCCTAAAAGTATATATATAAGATTTTATGTACATATGCATATTTTTGATAGTAATATATTTTTTTACGCATCTAGTACAAAAATGTATATAAAAACTTAAAATAATAGCCGTATTTCATTTAACGCGAGTACACTTTGAAGTTACAGTAAGTACATGCTCGCCGAATTACAATCGATTGATTATTTTAATAAAAATCTCGTTTTCATTGTTATTAAAGAGTTAAGTTTACGCTGCCTTTATGAATGAAAAAGGTGTCTGAAGGTTACGAGTAAACCGATGTGGTGGAGGTTATGCACAAGTCGGTAAAAAATAAAAAAAATTGTCCTTATCGAAACTGTGGTTTTTACATAAATTTTCTGCAAAACACAGATTAACAAACCAAGTAAGTTGGTGCATAGAGAAATAAATTAGTTATATCTAATTAAGGTAGTCGTTTTGTTTCAACGGAAACCAAACCAGACTGCAAAAACTTAACGTCATTAAAAATGTGCCGATTTTATCGTCAAAGACAACATATCGGGGACTTGAATTTACTGCTGTAGATTAACAAACAACAACACTAACATCGCACCGTGGGACCTTTTGGTGTCAGGAGGGTTAACATTGTGTAATAAAAAATTTAAAAATAGCCTTATTCTATCGTCGTTGGGCATTTGTGTGGTTATCAGTTAACATTGGACGATTTCAAAAATTGATCACTTACACTTATTTAGCGGGACAATATACCGCTTACAAGCGCGCAAAAATGTCAAAATTTGGCGAAAATCGACCTATAACATCACACTTTAAATTTATTTGACAGATTTCAATGGAAGTTGGTATTTAGCGGTTTTCGTTATCATTGATTTCGAAATATATATTAAATTTTTGAAAATTCAAAATGGCGGATCAAATATTGTGGGCTACTTTTTTATTTTAAAAAAATTATTGATTGTTTTGAAACTTGGTATCCAGGGGCATTCGTCGTCGGTGATTTCGAAGCTGGTATTAAATTTTCTAAATTCAAAATTGTGGATCCAATATGACTAACGACTTTTTTAAAATAATTATAGATTGTAATGAAATTTGATTCCTAAGAACCCTCGGAGTCACTGGGTACGAATTTAAAATTTGATTTCCAAAATGCATATAATTGTATGGGCAATTCTCAGAAACTTCGAATTTCTTTGTGAAAAAATGTTTTTGAAGTGAAACTTCTTAGGCGGCGGTATCGCAAAAATGGAGAGTGAAATTTTTAAAACTGAAAACGTTACATTAGTCAGAAGGAAGATATAGGTAGTGTAGGGAAGGGGAAAAAAGAAATAAAGCGACGCAGGACGGGTACGAGTACCTACATATGTATATATCGTCGTTTAAAGTACAAAAACCCCGTATCGTCATTCTGCAAATCCGCGTAACTGACATTGGCTGCCAAAAATTGGATTTGCTCACACAAGCTCTTGGCTTAACCCTTATCCATTCGTCCTAAAATATACTGGCCAGAAATGTGATTGCTTTATAAAAATATATACCCATTTTGAAATATGAGTATTTTTGCAGTCTAGAAGATAATTTCTAAAACTTCACATACGCGGTTTTGCATTTTGCTGATACGCGGTTTTGCATTTTATTGATACGCGGTTTTGCACTCTAAACGACGATATGTATATCGCTCGTTCGCTCGATTTCAATGAAACATACACCGATTTGAAGGATATAACTTCCTCTAATCCGGAAATGTTAATCCCGACACATAGGGGGCGTGGCATCTGACATATAGACTAAAATGTGAAAACCACTATATCTCTAAAACCAATTACGCTGGGGAACTGAAACTTAGCACAGATGCATAGATTGTAAATACCCTACTTACGGTGAAAAATGGTAGATACTGGGAAAGTGGGCGTGGCACCGCCCATACCAACTGAAATTCTCATATCGCTTATCTCTGGAACCACTTATACTAACGTCCTGAAATCGGGCATAGCCACATATGTTGTCAATACCATACTTTCGGCGAAGAGTGGTAGATTTTGGAAAGGGGGGCGTGGCACCGCCCATACCAACGGAAATTCTTATATCGCTTTTCCCGGGAACCACTTATGCTAACGTCACGAAAATTGACACAGCAACATATTGTTACGATTATCCTCGAAACCTTGAGGGATTACCCAAATATACTCGGGCTCGTATCGCTGGATTGTTAAATAAATGCTAACGATGACCGAATTGTAGTACAATTAACTTTATTGTACAACAAACAATTTACAATACTTGCTAATACAGTAAAAAAACTTACAATACTTGTTAAAGCAATAACAACGCTTTACTACTTGTTAACACAATTAAACTTATAGCTTGCTTATTCGCAACTCGATTCTCTGCTCACTTTACTTGTAGCTTGCTGACTTGCAACTGTCCCACCTCGCTGTGGCGGCGCCCTTATATACCTGCGCTGCCACTTATGGCAACTCTAGAACATTCTGAAGTTTATCGCTCATTCTCTTTCTCTCGCTGTTCGCAGTGTTCATCCAACTTGACGTTTCTCTTTGTGGAACATTCTACGTCATTCTTCGAACATTCTGCCTATTTCTCGTTGTTCGCTTTGTGTTGCCGCAGTATTCGCCACGATATGTTGTCAATACTGTACTTACGGCGGAAAGTGGTAGATTTTGGAAAAGGAGGCGTGGCACCGCCCATACAAACAGATTTTTTTCACTTTTAGAACACATGTTAATAATAATAATAATAATAATAATAATAATAATAATAATAATAGATTGGCGCTTACACATATGTTAGTGTTTGGCCGAGCTTCTCCTCCGACTTGTGGCGTGCGCCTTGATGTTGTCACACAAAGCGGAGGGACCTACAGTTTTACGCCGACTCCGAGCGGCGATTGTATTTTTATGGGAAGCTGTTTTTCATGGCAGAAATACACTCGGAGGTTTGCCATTGCCTGCCGAGGGACGACCGCTGTTAAGAAAAAACCTTTTTCAATATTTTTTGGGATGTTGCTACGACCAGGGTTTGAACCCAGGTGCTAATGAGTGAAAGCGCGCACTGCTTACCACTACACCACAGCGGCCGACACACATATGTATTAGTAACATAAAATTTGGCATAACTTGGTAGCCCAATCGGGTGATGAAAAAATATTGGGCTCTGGCCCAGTCTTGATAAAAACCAGTATGAAACCGCTATTAGAGAAGGAAATATTATCTTTTGTTGTAAACCTTCAACAACCGATAACGATTCTGACGAAAAAGGAAAGAGATTTTGTAGATGTGGGCAATTTAGTTTCTAACCTCCAAGAGGCTCTCAGGCAAATATAATGGAAAACCTTATTTACACTCAGAATTGGTATATGTTTGACATATTAGTCAGTGATGAACATCTCATCTATACATACAAATACATAAGCAAAAGCTACATTTTATATAGAAGGGAAGCATTGTGTGGCGGCGACTTTGCCGATCACTTTCAATAGGTTTGCCCCGCGGATGCGATGTAAGCACATTATTTTTACATGTATAATTCGTTGCTCTATGTCCATGATAAATTTAATATGCGAGGTCTTAGGTCGATTTTCGGTAAACTTTTGACATTTCTGCGCACTTGTAAGCGGTACATTGTCCCGCTAAATAAGTGTAAGTGATCAATTTTTGACATCGTCCATTGTTAATTGATAACCACACAAAAGCCCAACGACGATAAAATAAGGTTGTTTTTAAATTTTTTATTACATAATAATAATGCGTTGTCCCACTAACTGGGTGTAAGAAGTTGGTTTTCGTGATTTACGTGATTATATTGAAAATCTTATCATACTTTTATCGACGATAAAATAAGTCACTAAAAACTGTCGCTAGCTCCCGGACTATAGCCGGAATGAGCACCAAAACTGATGCAGTTCGCTGATTAAGTTCACACTTACAATTGGACATATATTGTAAAGCGGTAAAATAAGGCAATTTCCTATAAGACTGTAAATGATTTTTTAAATAGATTAAAACACATAAACATCGATAATATAAGCGAATTCCTAATTTAACCATGCAGCCACTCTATTTTAGTGTATCAGTAGTCCATTTGGCTCAATGTTATGACAATGCAGCACAAGTTATTTAATATTAAAAATCGCTTTTTCATACGATTATTGTGTACGTCGTTTTCCATTGATAAGCACGATATTTTTTATTTTTTTTACATTTTGAGGACAAAAATTATACAAATCCATCAATTTTAAATATTAATAACGTTCTGAAAACCCCAAGCTCTTTAAAAATCGCCATAAAAAGAATTACTAAAATGGAATATTTTAGATACTATTTCCCAACGAATAGTAGTATAAAAATTAAATAAATAAAAATTACAAAAAACACGTCGCTACTGACAACACCTGGTTATTATTCCACCATGAAATGAAGTATAACTGTTCTAAGGCGGTGGAGTTTTGATTGCCGTGCAGTGTGAACTCTATCTCTTGGCCAACTTCACACTACTAACTCTTTACTCTATGTATTAGCGTGCGCAGCTCTTGTGGATCCCTTTTGTCTGCGCTTCGTATATTCCACCGAACAGCAATGATGTGATTTACAAATGATGTGATGAAGATAATGTAATATCTTAAAGTTTCAGAATAGGAGATAATCATCTTTGCGTTCTTGGTGATTTAACTTGAGGGACACATTTTGCGGAATTGCCAATAACTATGTATTCTGTCTTATCTCCAGTTAATGGATCTAATGAGTGTGAACTCTATGTTACCTAAGGTCTTTTAAATATCGGCTTAACACAGATAAACCCAATTGTCATTAGACTGAGTCGCATTTTATCATATATGTTATACTCCTATATTGGCAGCAAGAGCTAGTACTGTCCGAAAACACTACAGTACAGATATATCAATAAACACATACGACAAAAAGGAACACATACGTTTATAAATAAACATGTACACAACACATACACAAAAACGGCACTCAAGTACACAGTTCATTGACAAAAACGGTACTAGAC